CCCTCGGTGAGTTGCTCCCTTCTCTTTTTCACCTCCTCTAGTCTCACTTCATGCTTTCAGCTTCTGCTACAATGTGACTGGACTTGAACCCGGTAACCAGTACAAAGTGCAGGTCGCCACTCGAATCGAAGGAGGTACGGTAACAGCGCATAGTTTGAGAGTTCAGCTACCATCGTTGTCTCTTTTCAGGAACTTATGGACCATGGTCATCGTTGGTGATAGCCAACACCTTACAGATTCTCCCAGATACCCCAAGGGCGATCCATCTGATCGAGAAGACCGATCATTCACTCCATATCAAATGGATACCACCGATTGATCCCAAGGGTCATATCACCCAGTACAGGGTCTCCATCGCCTCCCTTGACGAACCTAATGAGGAGGTGAGTTGACTTTTCTTGATCGCGTCCATGCACAGGCTATTTCTTGGTAACTTCAGCGCAAGACGTACCTTGTGGACCATCCAACTCTCACCTATCTCTTCGACGGCCTGAAACCCGAAACGTCCTATAATATCTCGATTGCCGCCGGTTCCAAGAGAGGTTTTGGTCGAGAGATCTGGACTCGCTACTCCACCGATCCCTTCACAATTCCGATCGTCGTTGCCGCTCCAACGGTTTGTTGAATGCTTGAAGGGTTCTTGGGGGTTCAGACTGACAAGGGTGCTCTTCAGGTGGCCCCAGATGGAGCTTCTGCTCTTGACGTTCAATGGTCAGGTGTTGTGGATACACAGAACAGAGTGAAAGGATACATTATTGAGATAAGGTAGGTAGCACAAAAATTTCAAGATGTCCATCAAGACAATTCTCGCGATCAATTGTTACGGGTAGTAGGTGCTCAATCATCAACCAGTAGCCAATAAGTAATTCCCCTGTAGAAGAAGAAGTGAAAAAAAACCTTGAGAAGACACTGAACTCCCCTTAGCAGTGAGGCCGGGGCCATGGAAGACACATCGGACAAGCCCAATAACCAGGATTTGGACGTGATTGGAACTGTGGCGAAAGCACAGGAAAACATCCTACGACGCTTCAGGCAACGCTATATGCACACGCAATTCCGCTTGTAAGCCGTTGTCTTGAAGAGTGAAAGTAATCATGGTTGCAATGATTGCGATAATCACGCATTTCTGGCTTTTTTACCTCGCCGTTTCGAGTGACGAAAGTGGTGTATTTCCTGCAAATGCGGGCAACGATGCCAAATGCACGGAAGCATTTCGCGGACCACTTGATCGCTGGAACTGCCTTCAGACTCTTTGATTAACTATGCTTAAAGTGTCTATTTAGAAACTCTGACACTCCGGTCTGGCAAGAAATCGGTGGAATCACTCATCATGATGCAGTGAAGAGGTCGTATTTGAAGAAACTGACCGGTCTCGACGCTGACACTCTTTACTTCGTCCGCATTAAGGCATGTCTTCGCCTTTATTTTCACTGGCACCGCCCAGCCCATTCTTCAGTTTTCGCAACTCCAAAGGCACAGTAGCTGGAGGACGGCTAACGTCATTGGTGAAAGGGTTGAGTAAGGTGTGATCGAACCCCCTCTCGCAGCCCTTCCACCAATGACGCAGGCAACAGCCGCCCGCCTACAGCAATCCACTGTCTTTAAATCTCAAAATTTCTATTCCAATCCCAAGCTGACTAAGGTGCAAGTTTTAGGTTGTGGATCACAAGCAACGAGTGGGTGGAGCTTCACCAGAAGCTCAAGGCCGTACTGGTTGTGCTCCGCCAACCTCTCCTCCAACAAATGTCAACCTGGCGTCGCCATCCAACGTTCAGGTACGATCACCTTCCTCGTTTCTGTTTTGTGGAATTCCGAAGGATTTCCGTTTCTTTGCAGGTACGGGTCAACTGGCAAGCTCCAGTGAAGGGTTCGTGGCTTTGCTCGAATATTCGTTATAAACTCGAGTATATCAATGGCACACAACCGCGTATGCAGATCGATTTACCCAGGTACTACCGTCTAGACCACCTGGAAGTTCCTACAGCGAATCCCTGTTTCTTTCCAGCTCTTCAATTGAACACATCTTTGATTCGCCGGCGAACACGAAATGGCAAGTACGCATTCGAACTGAGAACGATGCTGGCGTCTCAGGTTGGAGCAATGAGCTCGAACTGACCACTTCTGAAGGTATGTCGTCCTACTGACTGGTTCTTTCGGTTGACTGACATCAGATGCTTTTTCAGGTGCTCCCGGACCAGTGAGGGATATGACTGGTATCCCAGTGGGACCAACATCGATTGAAGCCACTTGGAGACCTCCTCTCGATCCAAATGGGGTCATCACCGGTTACACTCTTGTCTATAACCTCAAATCGATGGGAGAATGTGGACCAAGAACTTCAACTCCCATTCAGAAGCATGTCCGAAGCGAAACTCAGGTAAAATTCTCCCTAATTACCAATAAAGAGCCTACTGTCACAAAATTTCCGCTCAGGTCTTGGACGGGCTTCTTCCCGACTCCACTTATGAGGTTCACGTGATTGCGCATACCTCCATGGCCGGACCACAGTCGAAAGTGATCACGGTCACTACTGAGGAGGCTGCTCCTACTGGCGCACCCAATAACGTTCGGTAAGTTTCATTGGTTTGACCCTCAGGATGCGTGCATACTTTGCGGCAGCGTCCACCAGCGTCTACCAGCGTCCACTAGCGTTCCGAGCGTCCGGCAGCGTCAGCGACTAGGAAAGTATAGATATCGATCCAGCGTCTGCCAGCGTCTACCAGCGTCCACCAGCGTTCACCAGCGACCAGGAGTTCAGATAGTATGGGGAAATAGGAGGGTACAATTACACTACACCGTACATTCGAATTGCATAATTCTGTGCTTTAGCAGTTGTGCGGTGCGGTTGCACACGCCGCAATTTCACGACGCCTAATCCAGCTGTTTGCTACCCTCCTACTTTCCCATACTCTCTACTCCAGGTCGCTGGTGAACGCTTGCAGGCGCTGGCAGATGCTAGATCTACATTTTCCTAGTCGATGACGCTGCCACATGCTCGGAACGCTAGCGGACGCTGGTAGACGCTCGTGGACGCTGCCGCGAAGTATGAACGCAGCCTCACTTATTCTGACCATCTAATATTTCAATTCCAGTGTTGGTTCGATAACATCGAACAGAGCCGACGTCACCTGGTCACAGCCAGACTGCGAATTGCGCAATGGCAAGATCACAGGCTATGAGTATGAACTAGAGAGTTTGGATCCTTGGGGAGAGAACACCACTGCACAGCACTCAACTGAAAGACTTACGCTCAGTGATCTTATACCGTACAACGAATACAGGTATACTGCGGGACCCACTTTCTCCCTGAATGGATTTGAGTAGACGTTTTCAGAATTCGCGTTCGAGCACAGAATGCCGTTGGAGAGGGTCCATACTCAGAATGGGTCCGCTTCATAACACATCCAGCTGCTCCACCAGCTCCTTCTGATCTTCAAGAAGGAGGGCGTTTTCCCACATGCGATTGAGATTTCATTTGAAGCTCCATCACCTCCTCATGGACACATTGACTACTACCGCATTAGGACATACTCCTTCTGGACAAGGTTCGTAATTTCTTAATGCTTCAGGAGTTTTATTTTACTTGGGTCCTTGTGAGTACCCTCTTTTCAGCTGAACTTCAAAGAAGTACGAGTGGAGACGGACCGTCTAGAGTGCTCAGATGCTTCTAAGAGGGACCGTTTGTGCTTCCGTGTGCACGACCTCGACCCTGAGCAAG